GAACCCCTCCTGTCATTTTCAATCTGCAATTCGTCTGCAATGCCTCTGCTTGGATCACCTGGTCCCATTGAAACCAATAGTCAGTCCCGGATAACCTGGTCCCATGCGGCCCATTGTGAAGGGGTCCACCCGTTTGTCAGCTGTGTCGAAGATCACGGAGATCCATATTGGAGCCAGCCAGATAGGCCCTTCTTGGACGGGACCGTTGTACCGGCTTTCCAGTTCGAGTTCCAAGCTCGCGAGGCCTTCGGCCTGGCCCGGGGCAAGGTCCCACTTGTGCAAATTTGGAGATTTGGGCCGTTGATCTTTGCGATCTACGGTCAGTATCTCTTAATTCGTGCAAGTGGGACCTAGCCCCCGGTCCGTGAGTACCCACCTTTTGGCGCGTACCCACCTTTTGGCGCTCCTTTGACTGGATCATGTGACCGAGAAGGGCAGGGACAAGGTCCCACTTGCGCAAATCAGGAGATTTGGGCCGTTGATCTTTGCAATCTACGGTCAGTATTTCTTAATTCGTGCAAGTGGGACCTAGCCCGCGGGCAGCACTCGTTAGCATGGTGCCCGGGAGAGGCTGGTTGGGGGGATGGCTACCTGGCAGGAGTCTTGTCTCGAGGCGACTCTGAAGCTCCAGCTACTTGCGGGCGGACATATCTCAGAGGGACAGCCTACGTGGCACTGCGGACGGTGTTTTCTTGTCGCTGCCAGCGACGAGGCTTTAGGATACCGATGCCACGCGACAAGCCATCCGCCGCGCCCACTCGCGCAATTTGTTTTTCCCGTGCGCGTGCGCGCGGAAGCGGAAGTGGAAGCAGAGCGCGAGGCAGAAACCAAAAGGGGCCGAGACGGACTAGCAGCGAAGGGTAGGGTAAACAGCAAAAGAGAGGGCGCGGGAGTGACAAGACCGGACGAGGGTCGGGATCTCAAGAATCCCGACAAAAACCAAAAAGATATTATTAGGGCTCACTTCGGCTGATAAAAACAAAGGAAATAAAATGAAAAAGGACAGCGCTTGGACTTTCAGCCGCATTTGCGTTGAATTTTTCTTTTCTTTGTTTCTTTTTTTTTTTCGTGGGAAAGCGCTGAAAATTTCGAAAATGCTTTCGCGAGAATAAAATAAAACCTCGAAAACAAAACGCCGCGCCTCCGCGCTCTTTTTTTGTTTTTTTGTTTTTTTGGTTCCCTTTCTTCATGTGAAGGGGTCGCGGTCCCCGACCCCTCTCCGCGGTTCCTGGGTCCTGCGCTTCGTCGTTTGCGCGGTCCGCTCGGCAACTCCTCACATGCGCGCCTGTTCTTTTCCACTTCGGTTTTCCCGCCGGAAATGCCCCCCCCGACGTTCGCGACCGCGCAGAAGTGCGCGCGAAGACGGGTATAGCAAGGATGGCCCCGCGCAGAAGTGGCGAAAGTCTGGAGCTCTTTTCGGAAGCGTATCTGGCCGCCATCACGTCCAGAAAAAATTAATGGGAAAAGTCCTACTGTGGGGATTCCCCCAGCCAGGCCATGCGTTTGACTGAGGGCATACTCACACACTACGACTTTTTCACCTACTTTTGGACGGAATTGCGGCCAGATACATCCATATGGCTGTAAAATGCGGTCAGATACACTTGAGACACGGCTACTGTGAGTACGCCCTGATACGCACATTTGATACTTGTGAGTGACCCGATCATGGGTTCGAATCCGACTGGAATCAGTTGAATATTGCGATCTGAGGGGTTGTGTGTTCCCTTTTGGAGGGAAAACCGAAGGAACCTCATCGCTCTTCCACCGCGGGCAGGGATGGAGGTCTACGCCGCGGCAAGGCTTGGTGAGGGGGAGCTCCGCCGTTCCATGAGTGGGCGCAGGCAGTACGAATCTGGTCATGAAAGGCGCGAGGTTCATGAATGATAACTTGACATATAGGCATAACACCGGTGGCGCCAGGCTCAACGGTGTCCTGCGTCCGTGCGCGGAGACACCAAGGACCTGGTCGTCAAACGAGCGAGGTTCATGATAACTTGGCATAGGCATAGCCCGGGTGGGACGAAGCCTAAGCACGTTCCCCCGAATAGAACGTACGGGCATTATCTCTGTACCAGGACAGACAGTCCGCCAAATACAGTTATAATGACTGTGCCTTCTACTGGGGGAAAGACGGTGAGGGGCCGGTTTCATGAAAAGGGGGGTTTCCTCTTGGTTTTGCGGCCTTGCGCTCCAGGACAGGACATCTGAAAGGGGGCGCGGGGTGTGCTTCTTCGTCCCCCCCACTCTCGTCCCCAGTCCCCCGTCCCCCGTCCCCCGTTCCCCCGTTCCCCCGTTCCCCCGCTCCCCGGTTTCCGCGTTCCCCGCCCCCCGCTGGCGCCACGACTCCCCAACCAGCCGTGCTTGGCAGCTTCCTTCCCTGTCTATTTTCGCCTTCAGCGCGCGAGAGCTTCGACTGCCAGCTACTTCTGGTTTCCGGCTCCGCAGCTGCGCCTGCGCCTGGCTCCTGGCTCCCTGGCCTGTTTCTCTGAGTCCGAGACGCGAGAGAGAGAGACACACTCTGTGGCTTGCTTTCATGTTCCTGTGTCCGCATCTTCTCCGCGGCCGGAATTGTGCTGGCTGGCGGGCGGGCGGGCGAAAGGACGCAGTGTGAAGGGCCGCCGATTCGCTGTGCTGCGCTGGTTGGTTGATGAGTTGCCCCCGCCGATGTGTTGAAACTGATGTGTGTCTCCGCTCTCGCGCTTGCCGGAAACGTGCTTGTTGCCTCCCCGGATTCCGCCGCGTTCCGCTCTCCTCTCCTCTCTCAGCCATAGCGAGAGGAGACGCCGTGCACACACACACACACACACACACACACACACACACACACACATACAGAGAGGAGACGGCGAAAAGGAGCATTGACGGGCAGACCGGGATTGGAAAATACAACTTGAAGGCGAGGTGGCGTCAACGTAGGGGAAAAGAGTACGGTGGTGGCCTGCGGGAAAGGAGGAAGAGGGAGAGAGAGAACGGAAGCACTGAACACGAACTAACACAGCTGAGACGAGGGTTGGTGGGTACTGTATGCGTCGAGCGTTTTCGGTTCCCATTGCAAGAGCTTTGTTCGCTGGACATCGGAAGTGGCGTCGTCTGTGCTTGATGTTCAGCAGCGATAGATGCCACTGCTGTGCTGTCTCTGATGTGCTGCAGCATTAGACATGCACATCACTCTTCTGTCCCTTTTGTCCTCTGACTGATCCTGGCGTCTCCCTTCCTGTCGTCCTCCCTTTATCCGGTCTTCTCTGTCGTTCTCATCACCCGCTTGTTTTACAGACGCGGATGAACATATGCGAGCTGCACAGTTTGGGGATGCTGATTGTGCGCGTCAGGTGGCCGGTCATACACGCAGTCCAAAGGATCCCGCCGTTTCCTCCTAGATTGCACTGCTTAGCTATTTAGATCTCAGAGTCTGTGCGCGATCGATTTTCTCTGCGAGCAAACGGCGGATGCGGTCTTTATTTGCGGAAAGGGAACGACTTCATATAAGCTTTTGCCTGCTTATCTCTTGTCGAAAAACCGAATCCGCAAGTACTTCTCTGGTCTCGTTGTATGTAGAATCCCTCATTCTGCGTGTTTGGGAGAAGAACGAAGAAGGATTGAAGGGTGGGGCGTATGCTCGGCTGTGTTATGTGTCTCTGCTTACGAGAGAGTGTGTAAGAGAGAGAGAGAGAGAGAGAGAGAGAGAGAGAGAGAGAGAGAGAGAGAGANGGGGGGGGGGGGAGGAGAAGCGGTAGTGACAGAATGCCCCGCGTTCACTCTCGTGCTGCCGTGAAAACGTGGACGGTCCTGTCGGATATGGTACTTCGCTGGTCCTCTTCCTCATCAGAATGAGAAGAGGAGAGATTTGATTGAAGGGTTTCGTCCCCGCCTAACATTTCACTTGTCAGTGAGCAATCATCTTTGTTGTTGTTGCTTCGTTCGATCGCACGCATAATCTGCCTACCTTGTGCGGTATATTAAAAACCAACCAAGAAGTCCACGAGAGTCTGCGGCAGTTCACCTGGTTCTTCCTCTCTCCTGGCTGCGAGGAAGACGTCTACTTCACCACCATATCTAGGCCGACGAAAGTTGTTAGTGCTATACTGCATCCTAAGAGGTTTTGAGCCATCGGATTACCGCGATTTCTGTGCGGTCTTGACTTGTTCGTTTCGGTGCGCCATGTTTTTTGCGACATAGTATTTACGAATTACTTATTTTTTCCCGACGTCTTTGCGCTGTATTCTAGGCTGCTAGCGTCCGGTGGACCCCATTGTGTCCTTCCTTTTCGTTAGTGATTCAGCGTAGAAGAGGGGGGGGATCAGGGTTCGTGCATCTGAGCATTGGTGTGTGTGTGTGTGTGTGTGTGTGTGTGTGTGTGTGTGTGTGTGTGTGTGTGTGTGTGTGAGAGAGAGAGAGAGAGAGAGAGAGAGAGAGAGAGAGAGAGAGAGAGAGAGAGAGAGAGAGAGAGATTGTCATAGGCTGCAGAGTGCCTGAAGAGGCATCTGCTGTAAAGTTAATGGATATTCAAATGTCGCGGGACGATTGCCGCTGCTGGGCATGACAAACTGGAACTGCGGGATTCGTTCGTTATACGAACGGCACACCGCCCGTCTGGGGCGAGAGAGAAGGGGAGGAAAGAGGGGAGGGAGTTGGGTCACTGGGCTTGCTATCCGCCAGACAAACCATCTCTCTCTCGCTGTCTCCTTCTTCCTTCCTCCCCCTCTCGTCTCTCTCGGAGAATGCATGGAGCACAGTGTTAACGGCCAGTTGTAGCAGCGGCTGCGGACAGAAGATAGACGGTGTGTTTTTTTGAAAGGCAGCACGAGCAATTGCGAGTGTTAGGCTGTGCGTTGGCATTGTCTTGCTTTTCCATTGATAGGTGAGAGCATTCAGAAGAGGGTGCGCACGGAGGGCGGGGGGGCGGGGGGCGGGGGTGGGTGGGTGAGGGAGGAAGGGCGGGGGTTTTGGGCAGGATTCCATGGCTGTAGAGGAGGGTTTGCTGGCTTATCCGTCGAAGGACAGGGGGGTTGAGGATTTGCAGCAGCACCACCAGCACCACCAGCATCTGCAGCACCAACCGCAGCCTTATCAGCAAGTATCAAATTGCCCGTACTTCATGAAAACTGGTACGTGTGCCTATGGAGATCGCTGTCGCTTCTATCATCCCTCCGCGAATGCGACGACCGGGACCGGGACTGCGCGGGGGGCGAATCTTCAAGTGCCATCCCCCGTTGGGCGGGCGAAGGCGGCAGAGCATCCGGAACGTCCAGGGCAACCCATATGTCGGTTTTACGTGAAGACAGGAACGTGCAAGTTTGGCGCCTCGTGTAAATTCGACCATCCACGTGGAAATACTCCTGTTGTTGGCAATCCTTTGGTGCCAACAGCTCCCCAAGCACAGCAGCCGCAGCAGCAGCAGCAGCAGCAGCAGCAGCAGCAGCAGCAGCAGCAACAGCAGCGCGGGCCGGTTCTCAACGAGTTGGGGTATCCCATCAGGCCTGGGGAGAAGGAATGCGCTTATTATATGAGGACTCGTGAATGTAGGTATGGGCAAACGTGCAAATACCATCACCCGCCATCATTCCCTGCACCTGGGCCCAATCCTGTCTATCCAGGGCTGCCTATTGCTCCGGCTCCAGGTCCGTTCTTGCCGGTACACGATCCAGCGATGCAGCACGCTTGGCATGTTAGGGGCCCATACAGATTTCCGTTTGTAGGTCCTCACCCTGTCACCACCGGTCAAATTCCGTTATTTTTTCAGCCACAAACCCCTGCTAGTGGTCTTATCTACCCTCCCCCCGTGAGTTGGTTCAACCCTTATCTTCAGACAGCCGCTTCACATCCGCCCATGATTTTCCCCCAACCTCAGTCGACTGGCAATCCCTCTCAACAGCAGCAGCAGCAGCAGCAGCAGCAGCACACTGCCTCAAGCGCAGGCGGGACGTTCTTCTACGCTCAAGCGCCTGTATCTGGCACCGCTCCCGCTACTGATCAGCAGACGCAACTGACGCAAGTGACCAGTGGCGCCGGAACGCCCGCTGCCGTTCGACTAGGCACAGCAGCAGCAGCAGCTTACGTCCCGCCTCCAAGCGGAGGCCACAGTGACACCACTTCGTCGTTGCCATGCGAATCCGTTCCAAGTGGCGCTACTGCTTTGGGCCATTGTTCCGTGCCTGGTTCTCAGGTCAGCGGCGGAGCGTGTGTGATGCTCTCGTCGCCGAAGGACCAGCAGCAGCAGCAGCAGCAGCAGCAGAATCTGTTCCCTGAGAGGCCAGGGCAACCGGAGTGTAATTACTACATGCGGACGGGCGATTGTAGGTACGGGATGACATGCCGATTCCATCATCCGAAAGATAGGGCGGCGCCGAAGAACGTGGCGCAATGCTCTCTGAGTCCAATGGGCCTGCCTTTGCGCCCTGGACAGCCGGTATGTAATTACTACAACCGGAATGGCTTGTGCAAATTCGGTCACACGTGTAAGTTCAATCATCCCATGGGAGGTGATCTGGACTACGACCCATCCGCGTCGTCGCTTGTGGATATGCCGGTGGCTCCGATTTCCCCTTCTGCTAATCAGTCATAGTAAGGTGGGGGCGGTAGTGAGCGGTGGCGCACCCTCTTCCTCTCTTCCTTTTCGTCTTCGGTTGCTTATGTGATGGATGATGGACGAAGTTCACGGAATTGAACTCATTTTTTTTCTTGTGTGAACGTAATCGTGTGTTGTTCTCAGGGCATAGTAACACTAGGACTTTTGCCATTTCTCAGGCTCTCTGTGTGGGACGTTATTGCGGTCAGGTGCATCCAGTCCGGGTTGGAAAAGCGGTCATTCTTATACTTCCAGGGAAGTGGTAGCGTGAGGACGGTCTGAAGCCGAAGCAGCAGGAAAAAAGACAAAAGGAGGAGCGATGCGCTTCGACGTTCGGTGGTTTTAAGCGGAGAGGAGGGGGAAGGAGGGGGGCGGGGAAGAGGGGGGGGGGCGGGCGGGGAATGCGTTGAGAGATTGCGCCTTGTGATGGTGATCAGGGTGTGTGTGGCTTTCCTCCGCTCATTGCGGTTCAGAAGCGGAGGGGCAAGTGGAGTCTGTGGACCGAATACGGGCGCACATGGCCTTCTGCCCGCCTGATTCAGAGATCAGGGGGAAGAGGGGATTCGCGCGAGACCCAGCTGGCAAGCGGTTGGGTGATTAGAGAGGGCAAGGCAGATGTGTGTACACGTGCGGTGGGGTCGTTTTTTTTCCCTTCTCCGGTTGTGGTGCATAGTAAATATGCCCCGTTAGCAGCCGTTTGGTCCGACTCGTCGAATGACGACAAGGTATTGATAGACAGACGAAGGGTCACTGACTGGTCGCTGCTTTCCTCTCCCATCGGATTTACTTTTGATCGCTGCTTCCTCATCCGATCGGACTTAATCTTATCCGATTGAATTTAATTTCGAGTCCGATTGGATTTATTTCTTTTCGGGTTGGATTTAGTCTCTTATCCGATTGGATTTAGTTTCTTTTCGGATTGGATTTAGTCTTGGCTGGCTGATTGGACTTAATTTCTTTTCGGATTGGATTAGTCTTATCCGATTGGATTTTATTTCTTTTTCGATTGGACTTAGTCTTATCCGATTGGATTTTCTGTTCGGATTGGATTTAGTCCTGATCTCTGCATTCGTCTCATCGGACTGGATTTGGCTTTGTTGTTGCTTACCGCCTTCTCATTCTGATTGGGTTTAGGAGTGAGTGCTCAAGCATAAGATCCAGTCATGCTGCCTGCCGTATTCAAATACAGTTGGCATTCTCTCGGACGAGGGATTTGCCGCCACCGACAACAGCAGTGGCACGCTTTCACGCTTGGGGAGAGAGAGAGAGAGAGAGAGAGAGAGAGAGAGAGAGTCTGATCCTCGCTACGAAGTGCAACTCGACATGGGCTGGCCGCGCTTCTTCGAACGGCGGCTTTTTGTATCAGTAGTTCTGGGCAGGTTGTCTGGTCCTGCTGGGCTCGGATCGATCGATCGATCGATTGATTGATTGATTGATTGATTGATTGATTGATTGGTTAGGGTCGTAAACAGGTTCCTCCCTTTCGGTTATGCCCTTGCGCGGGAAGGATGTATGGATGGATGGACGGATGGGTGGACGGATGGGTGGACGTGATGAACGCGGCGGGCGAACCCGTTGTGGCGAAGAGAGCAATTCTTCTGGGTGGGCTAGACTCGGAGGGGAGTTGTAGACGATTCGGAGGGGGGTTGTAGACGATTCGGAGAGGGTGAACGATGCTCTCGGACGATACGGAGAGGGCTAACGATTCAAATGAAGTTCTCGTGCACGCAATTAGATGACGTACACTGGCAGCGTGTGCGAATTAGAGTTGAGTCTGTGCTTGCTTTGGAGTCTTCCCTGTGCCTTGGGTTTGATCATCTGACCTCGTTGTCCCTGTCTGCCTCTGTGTCGGGCTCATGTCTATGTGACCCCGGCATCGTGCAGTGGCTCTCAGCGCATTCTCTCTCTCTCTCTCTCTCTCTCTCATCTATATGCCATGTCGACTGTGTCAGCATCTCGATTATTCCGGGTTCAATTCACACACACACAAAAGATTCTATTCTCTCTCTCTCTCTCTCTCTCTCTCTCTCTCTCTTCGCTCCTGTTCCTCCACAGCACGTTCCCTCATTGTCGGACCTCAGCTACACTCTTTTTTCGTCCTCTTCCTTCAGCAAACTCCCCTCAAGGTCGGGCCGAAGTCACACACTTTCGTCCTTGTCCTTTTCTCTCTCTCTCTCTCTCTCTCTCTCTCTCTCTCTCTGTGTGTGTGTGTGTGTGTGTGTGTGCTTGCCGGAGACTTTTTTGGATCGTCGAAACACACGAGTGCAATGTGCGTTGCTCGTTGGCTTAAGTGTTTTTTGTTCTTTTGTCTTTTTCCTTCTGTTTTTCAGTTTGGGGCAGGTTGTGGGAGTTTCCTGCCTTTTCTGTTTTTGTTTTTTTTTTTCCTCAAAATTTTAATCGTTGTTTTCTGTTCGGATGCGCGTCGGGGTGAAGGAAAGGGGGCAGCAACAGCAGCCGAGCTCCGTTCAAATTTCTTGCTCAGCGTTGCTGTTTGTTTTGTATATTTGTTTCCATTTACTCTCGTCCTTGTGCGGGCACTCCTTCCCGTTTGCCTTGCCATGGGGGAGAGAGTCAATAACGCCTCCTTGATTTTCCTCCACCCTCTGCTGCTCACTTCATTTCGTCCAGTCGAACGGTTCATGTGTACTAGATAGTGAGCGTTTGTGGCGACCAAAACGCACACATGTCATTTGTCATTGAATGGAGGGATATTATAGCGACTTGAGAAAGTTGGTCTCTTCCATCTCGTTCCATCTCGTTCCATCTCGTTCCATTCAAGTGTAATAGCGCACACGTGTCTGTTGTCTGCTTTGACATCTCGAAGGATGGAAGGAAGGTAGTTGAGATGTCATCCGAAGAAGACAAACACGTGCCTTTCGCCTACTTGAAGTACCCTCATCGACCGACCAGACACACAGTTAATTCAGTTTCGAGCCCACGTCTTCAGGTTCGGAATCGCCGCAGAGCTACAGAGGGGGCCGCGGTTGTCTGCCGTTTCGTCCTCCTTGGACTCCCAACTCTCCACCATCGCCGGCCCTCCCTTTGGGAGAGAGATGGTTGACACATCAGTAATCTCCGTATTCGAGACATCAGTAATCTCTGTATTCGAGGCGGACCGATCGCTGTGGAAGAACTCTGCTGTGAGAGCCAAGAAGAAGGAGAAGAAGAAGAAGAAGAAGAAGAAGGGATCGGTCCGTCCTGGACACACACACCGGGTAAGTGAAACCCATTTCATCGTCTTGCCATGCGGCGGCGAGTTTCGGAAAATATCCAGGCGTCGGCGAGATTCGAACCTACGTCTTCTTCTGGTTGGGACTCTTTGAGGTTGTTGTGTGCGTACCTGGACATACACACCGGGTAAGTGAAACCCATTTATTATGTTTCCGCGTGGCGAGTTTCGAGCCCACGACTTCTTGTGGCTTTGGGTTTGTTGTGTGCGTACCTGGACGTACACACCGGGTAAGTGAGAAACCCGTTTCAGCATCTTTCCGTCTGGCGAGTTTCGAACCCGCGTCTTCTTCTGGTTTTGAGTTTGTTGTGTGTGTAGTGAGAAACCCATTTCATCATCTTTCCATGCGCAGTTGATTACATTTGTTGCGCTGGCCGATCTGAAGGGAGGCCCAGGTAAGAGGCACACGACGATGGATGCAGGCAGCAAATCGGCGGGATTGCTCTAGGAAAGGCAGGCCAGATGTCGAGGATAAAGAGGNGTGAAGAGGAACGGGAAGGTAGGGAAAGACCTTATGAGATGGTGAGTATAGGTATGTTAGTCCCGTGAAAAAAGAAGAAAGAGGGCACCAAAGAGTGGAAGGGGTAGGTGGGTAGGTGAGTGCCCGATTGATAGTGGTGGTATCGCCGATCGGTATCGCAGGAGACTGGGGGGGGGGGGGGGGGGGGGGGGGGGGGGGGGGGTGGGGGGGAGGGGGTGGGAGTATGGGGGAGAGATTGGTAAAGCACGCGAGGTTGCGAGGGGCGAGTCCTCTCGATTGATCGACTGGTGGGTGATTTTGGTGATGCCCCGAGATGTCGTGGGATTGGCACCAAAGAGGAGGGGGGGGGGAGGAGGAGAGATCCCCCGAAAAGTCCGTTGTTTGGCGGTAGGTAGGTTGAGCGGAGAGTTGGGAGGGAGAGAAGAGGAGGGGTGGATGGTGCGAGATGAGTCGTTGGACAGAGATGGTCCTGTTTTCTGTTGGTGGAGCATCCAGTAGGGATGAAGGTGGAATTGTAGGAAAGGGGAAGGGAAAGGAGGACGGGGGGAGGGGGGCAGGGGAGGGGAGGGGATGGGAATGGGAGAGGTAGAGAGAGGAGAGTTGGGGAGTTGCTGTTTGGAGTCTCGGTTGACAGTAGTTGAGGAACCGACTTGGATGTTCTCTCTCCCTGATGGGATCCTCCGAGGGTGTTTCATGTTTTACAAAATAGGTGGCCCTGTCACTCAGAACAGGTCGTCTTCAGCGCAGAGCAGGCTCTCTGCGCGAGAGACGGGGGCTCGAGTCCAGGCAAATAAGTTGTTTCGGCGTCTGTGCGCCGTGTGCTTGGAAGGGAAGCAGGTATTTGGTGGCGCCGTTTTCAATTCTCTGACTTCGTTGTGCCACACCACCTGGGTGTGTGCGCTTCATTCATTCATTGCTTGGTTGATTCATTTGATTGATTGATTGATTGATTGATTGATTGTTTAGATCTAGGTTGTACCGACCTGCTCGGAGAAGCTGCTGTGTTTGTAGATTGCTGGCTCTGAGGGTGTAGTCCAACCTTGCCCCGGTAGAAGCTTCAAATTCTCTCTCTCTCTCTCTCTCTCTCTCTCTCTCTCTCTCTCTCTCTCTCTCTCTCTATTTGTTTCTCGCTTGGTCTGTGTCCTCTTCCTTATGGGAAATGTCGGAGATGCAGGGTTTGAACACTCGTTCACCAGACTGAGTCCGTGTTGATCTTTCTGGCAGTTTCTGCTTTGCACTGTTTGGCGCTACGTCGCCACAGAATTGTGATTTTTTGGTTTTGTCCGTTGTCGGTCACGTGACATGATTCTTTGAGTGTTTTGTCTTTTTCTGGTCCTCGACTGCGAAATTCTGAAGTCGAGAAGTCGAGGAGAGGGAGGATGTCTGTCTTTTTGCGGTGGAACCAAGTCAAAGAGTGTAGGCAACTCCATCTTCAAGGGTTCCCGTGTGCGATCTGTTGGATCGAGTTCATGATGCTCTTTCAAGTTCGGGATTCGTTTCCCGTTTCTGGCAATCAACCCCGAAAGGTTCCCGTTCTCTTTGTCGACTTTCATTGACATGTTCCCCTTGTCCCTTCGAAACTCGTCTTCTCTTGCGTCATTGTCCCTTGCCTTTCATGAACGCTCTCCCTCCCGTCCTTCCCTTGCTTACATCTATTTCGTGGCTCATCAATTGTCATAACATCTCCTTTTGCACATTTTTGTCTGTCATAGTTTTTCCTGTGTCATCTATTAAGTCCTTTTTCGAATCCCCTGCTTGAGTTCTGTCATCCTGCCAAGGCACCTCATGTTTAGTCGGTGTGTGTGTGTGTGTATGTGTGTGTGTGTGTGTGTGTGTGTGTGTGTGTGTGTGTGTGTTGGGGGAAGGGAGGGAAAGGAGGGCCTGCGTATATGCGTGTTGGTATGTGTCTTTGGGGGAGGGTCTGCGTATGTGTGTGTGTGTGTGTGAGTTGGCATGTTCGATAATCACAACACAAAGGAAGCATGACTGTGCGCCATACGTTCGTCGGAGTTTCACCTCGACTCATCAGCGTGTGTCTCTGTGTGTGTGTGTGTGTGTGCGTGTGCGCGTGGGCGCTTGGGCGCGTGGGGTTGTGTCAGTGATGTACCTTTTTTTGATGTTCGAAGTCCCATGATGTCTCGAGGTCTGGGGTGTGCGGCGACAGGGTAAGAAAAGAGTCGGCATCTGCGTGTGTGCTTATGTTTGCGTGTGTGTGTGTGTGTTTGTGTTTGTGTTTGTGTCTGTGTGCACGAGTGTACGTGTGCTGCTGGAAGTGCTGCTGGTTTTAATTTCCTTCGATGTTCGGTGTAGTGAATGCCAATCTCTCAGATTTGCGGTTGCTTTGGAGCAAGTCGGGGAGCTCCATCTCTGTAGGCTGTAGCCCCTCGACGACGGTCCGTATCTGCGTCGTCAAACCGGGACCAAAATGTCCGACTACCATCTTCTCCCGAACACAACGCACCCTCATTATGGCTGCACCGCACCGGAAATATAGGTTATATACATTCTGTATCCGGCCGGAAATACCTTATATACATTCTGGTATCGGGGTGCGTTGTGTTCGGGTGAAGACGGGTAGCGGGGGGGTTTAGTGTGGGTTTCGAGTACGCACAGGGGGCCAAGTTCCACTAGCAGCAGCGTAACGGTTGAAGTCCGAATCTGGACGTGCTTGTGGGAATGTGCAGAAAATCGCGTCCTGAACCGTATATCTCCACAAACACGTCCAGATTCGGGCGTCGCGAAAACTCGATGCTGCCAAAGGGAGGTGGTCCCGGTTGCTCCCATCCGATCTGAACATCTCATGGCCACACTACTACTGCCGTCTTTTTCCGCTGAACACGAGCACTCTCATTATGACTGGATCTAGATGGAAAGATAGCTTGTATACATTCAGTATGGCGTTGCGCTGTGTTCGGGGGAAGGTGGTAGTGGGACATGACCCCACAGAGACTGAAAGGACGGATGTTGAACTACTACCGGTAGGGGCATATTCACCCTGCTACGTTCTTCCCCTAAACGCACTCTCGTTTTGGCTGTACCTGACCTGAAATATCGCTTGTATGATAGACTCGTTTTAAGGGTGCTTTCTATTCGGGGGAACCCTGGGGGTAGGACTTTTTCCTTCTCTTTGCACGGTGTTCCGGTCGGTTAGTGCTTCCGGACCTGGACGAAAAAGCGGTCACGTACATCCAAGAAAAGTCGTGGTGTGAGTCCGTCAATCAACACACTGCACTCCATCATAGAATTATTTTGTTTATCTTTTTTTCCTTGTACTTCTTTTTTTTCCTGGACATTCGTCGTCGGGGTATAGTCCGTATGTATAGATATATATATATACAGACCTTTCTTTGTTTCGTGGATGTTTTGCTGGCTTGTGATGGGGTGTGAACCGACAGTCTGTAGAGTTTTCCATCTGGTGTGGGTGAGTGATAGTCTACTTYGATTTTGGTTAAGGTAGATTATCATTTACAGTGTAATYAGTGAGGGGATTCTGCAGACTGTTGAGGGTTCAGCCTCCTGATGAGTCGGTGAAACTCCGACGAAACAGTTTGTCACAGCCCCTCGTTTGTTGTCCTCTTCTCTCTCTCTGCCTACGGTTTACCGGGCAGTTCTGTTTGTGACGATATATATAGATATATATATCGTCACAAACAGAACTGCCCGGTAAACCGTAGGCAGAGAGAGAGAAGAGGACAACAAACGAGGGGCTGTGACAAACTGTTTCGACGGAGTTTCACCGACTCATCAGGAGGCTGAACCCTCAACAGTCTGCAGAATCCCCTCACTGATTACACTGTAAATGATAATCTACCTTAACCAAAATCAAAATAGACTATCACTCACCCACACCAGATGGAAAACTCTACAGACTGTTATCAAATACGATATATATATCGTCACAAACAGAACTGCCCGGTAAACCGTAGGCAGAGAGAGAGAAGAGGACAACAAACGAGGGGCTGTGACAAACTGTTTCGTCGGAGTTTCACCGACTCATCAGGAGGTATATATATCGTCACAAACAGAACTGCCCGGTAAACCGTAGGCAGAGAGAGAGAAGAGGACAACAAACGAGGGGCTGTGACAAACTGTTTCGTCGGAGTTTCACCGACTCATCAGGAGGCTGAACCCTCAACAGTCTGCAGAATCCCCTCACTGATTACACTGTAAATGATAATCTACCTTAACCAAAATCAAAATAGACTATCACTCACCCACACCAGAGTATATATATGAAATATATAACGACCGTGCTTAGTGTGAGGTGAAATTGAAAGAAGAATGTAGCAAAGAAAAAGAGGAGAACGATCATGCTTGCTCTTACCGCAGGGGCCACGTCCCAGTAGCAGCGTTGAGCTACCTAAACGCCTGAATCCGGACGCTTTTGCGGAGATGTGCACAAATGGGGTTGACTTTCCTGAAATGCACGTCTCCACAAGCACGTCCAAATTCTTTTTTTTTCGAATCTTGATTTTTTTTTTTGAGCTTGAACATGTATCCAAAGCACCCTAATTTTCCTGAACTCACGACGTTCTGGTTACAAACAGTCACTTGACGCGTTTAGGTAGCTCACGACGTCGATCTTCCGTATCTACGGACTCTCTAGCTCTCCCTCTCTCGACTCTCGACTCTTGCATCCTAAGGCCATCGTTTTTTTTTCCCGTTTTTTCTGATCAGCCAATTCAATGACCTGTCAAATCTGTGGGCAAGTCCCACTAGCAGCGTTCAGCTACCTCAACGCCTGAACCTGGACGCTATTGCGGAGATGTGCAGAAATGGTGTTGAGTTTCGTGAACTGCACTTCTCCACAAACACGTCCACATTCAGGCGTTTAGGTAGCTCAACGCTGCTAGTGGGACTTGGGCCCTGGACAGAGGACGTCCTCGTAAGGGCATCCTTCCTCCCCCCTCCCCACTTTTTTTCCACTTTTTTTTTTTTTTTTCAAAAATGACCCACGGATCAGATACTAAGCTGATCAGAACAGATACTTCACTTGATCTTACTTAGTGACAGGCCGAGAAAGGTATTACCCGCCCCCGCCCCCGTCCAAATTCTTTCCTGAAATGCACGTCTCCACAAGCACCCTAATTTTCGTGAGTTCGAATCTTGATTTTTTTTATTTATTTTTCGTCTTCCCCTCATCGGGGGACAGCTATATAACTGAGAATAATAGAATTATTAGGGTGGGTCATTCATTGTTTCAGCCTTTCAGGAATTTCAAAGAAAAGGGCCATGCTGGAACCGTTCTTTTTTTTTTTTTTTTTTTTGAGCTTGAACATGTATCCAAAGGCGGATGGTGTTTAAAAAAAAAAAAAMAAAAAAAAAACAGAGGCGGATGGTGAATGGGAAATGCGATGCGTACGTGTACGAGTCTGCATTGTCCAAATTACGACATACTACAATATTCCCCCGAACACAACGCACCCTTAAAATGATTGTATAATAGCTAATTTTCCGGTCAGGTACAGGGTGCGTTGTGTTCGGAGGAAGACTGTCGGCATTCGATGTCTGGGCGAAAGATGATTCAAACGTTAGTCGCCCTCCGTTCTGACGGCGACTTTTTTTTTTTTTTTTCTTTTTTTTTTTTTTAATCTTCACCTTATGAATTGGTTCTACCAGAAAATCAGAGCAGCAAACGTATACCAGTAGGAGGCGTCGGGCGCAAGAGCTATATTGGCTGTAATGAGGAGGGGTCCCACTAGAAAAGAGTAGGGTTGAATTGACCGTCTGAATCTGGATTTGTCTTATGCATAGGTGCAGAGATTCTGAAGCAGATCGATCGCGATTCTCTGCACCTCTCCACAAACACGTCCATGTTTACGTAGAAGTAAATTTAAATCCAAAGTTTAATACTCTTTGCCAGTGAGACACATCCCCCTGGTCTCTGAGGGCGGGGTCCCACTTGCCCGGGCACCGGGTCCCACTTGCCCGGGGCCAGGTCCCACATAACCCACTTAACCCAATCCCCGATTTCTTACCGTTGATTTTGAAGATCAAGGGCCAGAAATCTGAGAAATGGAGAATCCGGTCAAGTTGGGCTTGGCCCAGAGTTTTTTTTTTTTTTTTTT